CACTGGCAAAGACAGATGTGAAAACGGAGATTCAATGTCAAACAAGGGATGGAGATTAATTTCGTTCGACTCACAGACCTATCCCTTCTAACAAAAAATGGCGAGAAGATCCCGTACCTCCTCTGCAACAGACTCTGCTGCCCAATTGGTTCGAGAGGCAGACTGTGGTATGAGGAAACGGTGAACGTAGTACCGGGTTTGAAGTAGTACCTCATATACCGGAGGGCTTAAATGCTCAAAGCATACCGGACAATCTACAACTTCTGGCTCGGTAATGGTCACTGACACTTGTTACTGAACGTAGCACGGGGTAAAGTAGTAGTTGAGTTGATGTAAAGTAGTTGAGTCGATGTAAAAGTGCGACATGCATACGTCGCATATCATTCGCCTAATTGGTGCATAATTTATATTATAAAAGTTTTTTCGATGTAAAGTAGTTGAGTCGATGTAAAATTGCGACATACATACGTCGCATATTATTCGCAGAATTGGTACATAATTAATTATAATATTTATTTTCTACAAAGTTCTTTGTCTGTGAATTAAATATAAATTTAAGACTTCGTCGCATATCATTCGCAGAATTGTTGCATAATTAATTATAATATTTATTTATTTTTTGGAAAGTTCTTTGTCTGTAAATTATATATAAATCTAAGACTACGTCGCATATCATTCGCAGAATTGGTGCATAATTAATTATAATATTTATTTTTTGAAAAGTTCTGTCTGTGAAATAAATATAACTTTAATACTACGTCGCATATCATTCGCAGAATTGGTGCATAATTAATTATAATATTTATTTTTTGGAATGTTCTTTGTCTGAATTAAATATAAATTTAAGACTACGTCGCATATCATTCGCAAAATTGGCGCATAATTAATTATAATATTTATTTTTTAGAAATTTCTGTATGTGAATTAAATATAAATTGAAGAATACTATTAGATGAATGAACCTGCGATTATTACTTCGAAACAATTCCGCATAAAAACTTCATAACCCTCGTACTATAACGAATAAAATTTAATTTTTTATGTTTTTGTAAATTTTCAATTCGGCGACGTACGAAATTGTGACATACGAACGTCGCATATTAGTGCCCGGGTTGGTAAATAATTAAAAGTTTTTGAAAAGTTTTTGGTCTATGACTAAATTATTAATAAATTGAAGACTACTACTATTAGGTCAATGAACCTGCAATTATTACTCGAAACAATTCCGCATAAAAACCGCATAACACTATTACAATAACGACTAACATATATTTTTTTATGTTTGTTTTTGTAAATTTTCCATTCTGCGACGTACAAAATTGCGACATACAAACATCGTATATTTTTGGAGAGTTGTAAATAATAATTTTTGGAAAATTCTTGTTCTTTGACTAAATTAATAAATTAAAAAAAAAACTATTAGGTGAAAAAAAGCGGTGCGTAACACTAATTCGAAATGTGTTCGCATATTGACACATTCATGCGAGTTTTATATGGATATGCGATTCGTAACTATGCGAAAACATAACGCATAAGCGATAGTTATCTAAGCCTTTGGATATGCGAATCGTCAATTATGCGAATATATGCCGCATAGTCGCATACTCATAAATGATGCAGTTTGGATAGGCGATAATCTAATTACGCGACAGTTTTCCACATATCCTAAATGATGATGCGGTTGATCTGGTCTGGATATGCGATTAACAAAAATAAATTACTTTTATTTATTTTTTTCATTACGTTATGCGAGAACAATGCGATCATCGCACTTTGTTCACAGTTCTGCGAATTTCCTTTCAATAATATTTTCCCTTCGAATATTGTCGCTGATGTTGCTGGAAAAACTCTGTTCACGGACATTAATAGTTTAATTGTCCATGCAACATATTGTTTTGTTTTGACATATGAATCATGATTAAACAAACACGTACTTGACAGAAGAAAAAAATATTTATTATTACTGCAGTCAGTCCAACAAAATAAGCCAAACAACTTTTCATTACATGTCCAGTGGATTCTAAGAGTCGAGATCGATGACTTCCAAGTCTATCGCCGCTGCGTTGCGCTCGGTAAAAACCTCGTAACACTCACCATACCAAGGGAATCCTTCCGAACGGAAAAATGCCTGAGTGTCGGTCTCCTGTGTAATAAATTTAAATCTTTTTAGGTCACAAAAATGCATGTTTGAACAAACTAAAATAAAAAATCAGATGCAATTTACCTCCTCCCCCACATACACCCAGTACATGTGGTTAACCCTAGCAAAGCCTGTATCACGACATAAGAGGACGCCTGGAATCATCAGGAAAGCAGTAAATTCATCGAAATAATTTCTGAGTCGCTGAATCTTTTGCCGGACTTGAGAAATAGTAAACTCCCTCTTCAATGCATAACTCAGGCATTGGTTCAGGACTATTGAAATTTCTGCCCACAAGGAATTGAACACATGGCCTTTGTGTATGTCTGCCTTCTGACGACACCATTTGAAAAACACTTGGTAGCAAATACGTTCCTCCTCCTCTGTCCAGTCCATGCCACGGAAGCGGATCGCGATCTTTTCATAGGGTGAAATCCTTTCCATTTTTTTTTTCCGCAAACGTGCGCCTCCTCGGATTTTTTTTTTTTTGGCTGCGATGGAAAGATAGGGTTTTGAGAAGTGAAAGGTCGCCTCTTCAACAAAGAGAATGAAAGGTTAATAAATATATATATCATTTAAGGCTAGGTAGGTATACTTCAACTCAACAACTAAATGAGGAAGCATGCAAATCGTCATTGTTTTTAGGTGTAAAAGCAGACAATCAATCAACGCGGTGCGTAACTTATGCGAACAATATGCGAAGAATTTTCGATTTGGATATGCGTTGCAGACAATCAATCAATGCGGTGCGTAACGTATGCGAATAATATGCAAAGCACTTTCGATTTTGATATGCGGTGCAAACAATCAATCAATGCGGTCCATATGGATATGCGAAAAAAATAGCGGATAGTCGTAAATTATGCGGCTACGAATAATATGCGAAGAACTTTCGATTTTGATATGCTTCGTAAATTATGCGGCTTTCGATTTGGATATACGATTCGTTAATTATGCGGTTGAAGACTAGGCGAATCATCCCAGTTGTGCGATTATTATGGGATATGATATGGGAATCGCACAATCAACCCAATTGTGCGATTATTATGTGACATGTTATGCGAATGGCACAATCAACCTAATTGTGCGATTATTATGGGACATGTGTTATGCGAAACGCGCAATCAACTCAATTGTGCGATTATTATGGGAAATGTGTGATGTGTGCAGGTCAACCCAATTCCGATTTCGACAATTGTACCTGGATTAGAAACATTTGCTTCTCATTGACCTCTTTGTCTTCGCTGCCTGAGTCACCATTGTGCGTGTTGGTTTGGTCATCATTATTGTCATCGTCACGAGAATGACCTGGTTGGTTCGAACAACCCGAGGTTTGATGATCATCAGCGCCCCGAGGATATCCAGTATGTGTAAATGAACTAGGGCCTGCTTGATGTGAATATGGGGTCTCGTGGGAAAATGAAGAACTACCAACACCAAAAGAACTCGGAAATACACCTTGGGACGCCATCATTTGCGTGAAGCTTTGTTGCGCCGTCCCTGGAATCCCTACATTTACTCGCTTCTCCAACTCCACGTAAATGTTGGGATTTCTTTGTTCTTCAATCAGCTCTAAGATATCCTCACTGGATTCGATTTTCATCTTCACAACTCGTTCCTTTCCGTCAAATACTGCCCACAATATGTACTCAAAATTACAAGGATCGGCCTTCAATAATGCTTGAGCACGAGAAACTACTTCAGAATATATTTGTCGACCGTAATTTATTCTCATCAGCTCTGCCACTCCACCAAGATATGAACCCTCGCAAAACGAACCACCAAAGTGCACCAATACTCTAACACGGTTGCTAGCCATTCAAATAAGTGAACAACAAAAAAAGAACTAAAAAAAATGCAGTAGATGAATGGTGCAGGCGTTAAATTGTTAGAGATCACTGTTTTTTTGCCTGCATGATAAATGCAGAGACCAAATCCTCACCTGTGAAAAAACAGTCAATTAATGAGGTGCGCAACTTATGCGAAAGTTCTGCGAATGAATTCCATTCTGAATAGTCGTAAAAGATATGCTTTATTCGATTTGGTTATGCGATTCTTAAATATGCGAGCGAAAAAATGTCACATAATTGTCAATTATCCGGAGGGTATATGCGAAATTGTTACGCATATTAGTAAATTATGCGATTGACTTGGATATGCAATTACCAGAAAATGCGTATTCAACAAACTATGCGAAATAGATGTGAAATAGTTTCGCAGTCATATAGCCCTGCGAAAAGAAGGCGCATAATCATCGTAAATTATGCTGCATTCGATATGTATATACGATTATTAAAAATGCGAAAGATGTTCGCACATTTGTAAATTATGCGTTTGATGTGGATATACGATTAAAAAATGCGAAATGTTTACGCATAGTCAGAAATTATGCGGCCGATTGGATATGCGCTGGTTCATTTGGACATGCGAGTGTAATATCGCATAGCATTTCGTGAATTCTGGGGTGTAAAAGAAGTTATTTGACGGGGTGGTGTGAAAAAGAAAGAATAGATATATAATGGGGTGAAAAAGATTTTGACTCAATTGTTAATTTCGATTACTATGAGAGACAAATTGTCAAGAAAAAAAGTTCATAAGACAAACTCTAAAAAAACCGGACATAGTTTGGAAGGTTAAAAATAAAATTTCATATTAAAAACTAAAAATATTATACCCAAGAGCGCTTGGATGAGATGACTTGGGTCTCTTCTTTCGGATTAGTCGGTTCCCCTGTGGATCCGGAAACCGGAAGGTCCCTGTACCAAAAAAAAAATAATAATAATGATAATTATGTTGGAACTCCAAACCCCAACGGAGAAGTGTGGCGGGACGCCCCGGTGGGAAAGTTCTGCGCCGGCCAATGAGTCCATCATCGCTCCCTCTGAAATTCGCCTTCTTCTTCTCCCTCTCTCTGGCCGGGGTCGTCTCATTCGCCACCACCACCAACGCCCCCTTCGGATTCCGTCGAAAGCCCAGAACCGTATCATATCACTCTCTCTCCACAGCAGCCAAGCCCAAAGCCACAGTCTCGGATTTGCTATCCCTTCTGGGCCCACCTCAGCAGGCCAAGTCCGTCAACTCGCAGGTGGCCCGAGACCTCATGCCGTGCTTCAGATTCCTCGTCCCCTTTGACCAAAACCCAACTGCTCGCCGGAGCCAAAGAGTAGTTGATGAGCTGATTTTGTCGCCGCCGGAGCCTGTACTGGAGCTAGCTCGGCTCGCCCTTGACTCGGGCGCTGACCCTGGTGCTATTCACCGAGCTCTTGATCCGATAATTATCACTGTGAGCCTTTTCGTCTTTCTAATGATTGGGAATTGTGTATGATTGAGATATCTGAGAGAGGATTATGAAATTGTCTGAGAATGCAATAGATTGGTTCAGGTTAACATTGTGGATCATAAAAATATGTTCTTTTCTTGTTTTAACCATTCAAGTGTTATGTCAAGTCGCAAGCTGCACTGAAGTTGCTGTTATAAGGGACTTTTTGCAGTTAAAAAATTAAAATTATTATCACTGAAGTCATCTGAAGCTAAGTATTTCAATGTTATAAGTACTAATCTACTGAGTTTGCTTGGGTAAATGGCACTCTTATAGCTCTACAGATTTGATATAAACTTCATTTTTGGTTAAAAAGCTAAAATAGGGTGTGGGTTTCAAACAAAACCTTATAATGGACTCATTTTTTATACCTAGCTAACACAAATCATCTCCCTAAAGTAAAATAGGGTGTGGGTTTCTATAGATTTCGTATGAAGTTCATTTTGTGGTTAAAAAACTAAAATAGGGTGTGAGTTTCAAACAAAAGGTTATATGGGACTCATTTTTAATACCTAGCTAACTCGAATCATCTCCCCAAACTCCAAGACGTTAACTAGGTGTGGAATAAAGCCCCATTTCGATAGTGGAATATGAAGCTAAGGATTTCATATCCCTTAAGAATTGTGCGAATTGGGCCACCGTACGATATATTTAGATGATTGTTACCTATTTCTTTAATCATTTTAAAGGATCTCATTTTAATCTTCGTAGAATCTTTGAATTTCTTTCTCAAGCCTAAGCCCTCTTATTCAATTTTAGCTACTTGTACTTTGATTGTGGTAATAATTTCAATTTTTTGGACGTGTAAGGTAACATTTTTTGCTATGCACTGTGTTGTGCCAAACTATGTGGCTCTCGGCAAGTGCATTTTGGTAGGAAATCGTTGTTTGCTAATTGTTAGGAAGTGTGTTTGAGGTATTATTGTCTTCAATTGCACAGGTACCTGATGTTGAAGGATCAAATGAGGATCGATGTGAACTTACACGAACTCCCTACGGGAGGCAATTCATCAATAAGGTATGGTTTTATTAATGGTGTTTATTTTTCTCATTTGTTCCAGTATCTTCTATGATACAGCCTGCCAATTTCTTTTCTTTTTTTTTTTTTTTTTTTTTT